CTACAAGCTGTGGATTTTACTACATCTGTTCCTTCTCTCATTCATTATATATATATATATATATATATATATATATATATATATATATAGTTTAAGAAAAACTAGGTAATCCGTATGGGTAAACCAGAGGAGGATAAATGGTCTGTTTTTATTTAAAAAACACATATATATATATATATATATATATATATATATATATATATATATATATATATATATATAGAGAGAGAGAGAATAGAGAGAGATGGATAGATAGATGTATACATATATATATTTTATTTTATATATATATATATATATTACTTATATTTATATATATATATATATATATATTACTTATATTTATATATATATATATTTATTTATATATAATATATATATATTACTTATATGTATAAGTAATATATATATTAGTCATATATAATATATATATATCTTCTATATATAGATTTATTACACACACATACATATATATATATATATTTATTACACACACGCACACACACATTAACGCGAAATAAGTACAAAAACTAGACTTTAAAAAATGAATTTTCATGGTTTTCGCCTGATTGCCGTATACACTATTTCCCGCCGGTTGAGGGTTAAAAAAAAAGAAGAGAAAAAGGAAAGAAAAGACGTAAAGAGATGACTAATAGTGAGGAAGAAGGGGTTTCACCGTTCACGGGAGGAGGAGTCGAGTTTACTTTCTTGTGTGGACTTAAGTCCTACCGTCGGGACATTATTGTATAGAGCTGGCACCTCGGTAATAGTTAGACCCGGGCCAACTCGATTGCATGCATCAATAGCAAGAACCACCAATCGTTGTGGAACGTTTGGGGTTTTAATCAAACAGCTGGGGGGGGGAGGGGACTCAGTCGTAAGGTAGAGGAAATGGGAAAGGTATAGGAAAGTAAGTTCAGGAAGGTGGAGAGGGAATGATGGAAGATGGAATGTGGAGGGTGGAAGATGATGGAGTTATGTCTTTGAATTCTTTTCCCATCATTCATCCTTTGTTTCTCTCTCTCTCTCATTTTTTATCCTTATACACAACTTCATGCACGCATGCACACACACACACACACACACTTATATATATACATATATATATATATTCCATATATATATATATATATATATATATATATATATATATATATATATATATATATATTTTTGTCTGACTTTCCTTTTTTTTTATATGCAATAACTTCGTTTGTTTGTTGTTTTTTTTTGTAATTGAAGGTGTTTCTACTTTATCTCTGTATAAATTTTTCGATTCGTATTCTACAGCTACCCCCATCTAACCAGTCATGCAACACTCGATTTATCTGTGTGCCTATCTATGTACCTATCCGCAGATGCGTGTGATGGCCAAAACGGTAACGGCTATTCCTCTGGTGCCCGTCATTAGAGTACAGGTGACGTTCTTGATTTCAGAAGCCGATTTTCAAGGCCACACCCTGCAGAATTCCTACCTTTATCGATCTTATTTTAATTGTATAACGATATCTCAGCGTGCGTCGGTCTGTTTGACCACTCTGCTAATTTATCAAATCGCTGTACGCTGTGTTAAAGACTCCCCCCCACCTGGGGTTGGGGGTATAGCGCTACTTTGTTCTGTCACGCCGTCTGTTGCTGCTACAGTTTGCACGGCAAATACAGGGTTCAAGTTATTAAGACAACATTGAAGAGGTTTTGCATTCAGAATTATTCCTTAGTCGTCTTTATTCCAGATTTGACGCCATACAAAGTCAGTCTTGGTATTAATGCTTAGCTGAGATGTAATCGTGCGTAAAACGAATACATACATTTTTCTAAATGTATTTGTGCGATAGTGAATTCCATGGGCCCAATTGAACTCTGCAAAACTAATTACACTTTCCGTATATATAAACCTTATTCAATTTATACTTTAAATTAATTTCCCTATTAATATTTTTTCAAGTTTATTTTTTTTATATTTTATATTAATTAATTTATATTAATATATGAATATTATGTGGTATTAATATTTAAAACTAATATTACAATTTATTTTAAATATTAAATTAATTTATATAATAAATTATAATGTTTATATAATTTTCCTTCATATATATATATATATATATATATATATATATATAATATTTAAAATTAATATTATAATTTATTTAAAATTATATTAATTTATTATTAAAATTATTAAAAAATTACTATTAAAAACAAAAAATTATTAAAAATTATTATGAAAATTTTTAAAATTACTTTTATTAATTTATTTAAAATTAATTATAATTTATTATTAAAATATTAAATTAATTTATAATAAATTATAATGTTAATATAATTTTTATATATATATATATATATATATATATATATATATATATATATATATATATATATATATATATATATATATATATATATATATATATATATATATATATATATATATATAACCCTTTCCTATATATTTTTCTAAAAGGGATAGCTGCTAAAGTTAACTGCACATGCAATTGATCTGATAAGATTTTAATAAACCTTCCTGATTTATTGGCGTGTTATGGAACCTGATATAATTTGTCAAGACCCGGTTTAAATTGGCATCAAAAGTGAAACAAAGAACGTTTCATGTTGAACCCGTCATGATATTTTTTTAAAACAGTTATAATTTTGGATTTTGTTGTTGTTTTTTATCATTTCATCCAAAGCAAGGACATAAAGCCACTAAGACGCAAGGGGTTACAGAATTAAGGAGAGAGAACAATAATTAAAAAAAAAAAGTAACGGTAATTAAGAAGAGGGAAGATAATATTTGAAGATCAAAGTTAACAGGGAAGCAAGAATGCGGAAGTGGATTCCACAAAAAAGAAGTATTAGAATATAAACTGTCAAGATAGAACCTACGGTTGCAGCAAGCCATTTCATCTGCAAAATAGAGAGACCTTACCGCCAATCTAGTACTGCGCTTCAATTCATAAAATCGAAACACTAATGAGGCTATCACATCGAAACAATTAATGTGAATATATTTATAGTCCTGGGTTGGATGAAAAATTACATCCGCGTCCTGGGTATGACGATAAGCTACATCCGCGTCCTGGGTAGGACGTTCACGGCATCCGCGTCCTGAGTAGGACGTTCACGGCATCCTCGTCCTGAGTAGGACGTTCACGGCATCCGCGTCCGGAGTAGGACGTTCACGGCATCCGCGTCCTGAGTAGGACGTTCACGGCATCCGCGTCCTGAGTAGGACGTTCATGGCATCCGCGTCCGGTAGGACATTCACGGCATCCGCGTCCGGAGTAGGATGTTCACGGCATCCGCGTCCTGAGTAGCACATTCACGGCATCCGCGTCCTGAGTAGGATGTTCACGGCATCCGCGTCCGGAGTAGGACGTTCACCGCATCCGCGTCCTGAGTAAAACGTTCACGGCATCCGCGTCCGGAGTAGGAGGATAAACAACATCCGCGTCCTGGGTAAGACGATGAACTACATCCGCGTCCTGAGTAGGACGTTCACCGCATCAGCGTCCTGAGTAGGACGATGAAGCAAATCCAACCACGAGGCCTTTTGTCGAGAGGTTTTTCTTGAGCGTGGAGCCGCCCCTTGTTTGTTGGTTTTTCTGGGTCTGCCCTTGCCCGAGGTGGTGGTGACACCTGTTGGGGTTCCAGTTGTGGGTAAGTGGTTCGTCCCCAAACTGTGGTCAAAACGTCTAAAAATAGGTTTTAATACCAGCAAAACATTTCTGTAAAAATTATTACAAGCAAAACATTTTTGTAAAAAATTATTGCCGGTAATGCATTTTTGAATAAAAATATTACCAACAAAACAATTTTACAAAAAAGTATTAGCAGCAATAAAAATCTTGTCGACATTAAATAAACCATTGAGGTTGATATGCCGTCAACCAAACCAAACCAAACAAATATATACTGAGATAGATTGGGCACCTCGAGGTGGTGTAATGGTTAGCAAGCTTGTCTCGCTAGAACAATTACGACTGAGTCGTGAGTTCAATCCTCACGTGGTGCCCCTTAATTTCGGCCTTGTGCCACATCCAAGCTACGCTTAGAAAATGACTATGGGCACCTTGAGGCGGTGTAATTATTAGCAAGCTTGTCTCGCTAGAACACCATGACTGGGTGCCTCTTAATTTCCGGCTCAGCTGCACATCCAAGCTACGCTGAAAATCACTATGGGCCACCCGAGGCGGTGTAATGGTTAGCAAGCTTGTCTCCTAGAACAATTACGACTGAGCCGAATTCGATCTCATTGGTGCCCCCATACTTTCGGCCTTAGGCCACATCTAGCTACTGCCGGAAAATCGCTATACTGAGATAGATAGATAAAAAATATTAGCAGCAATAAAAAATCTTGTCGGCATTAAATAACCCATTGAGGTTGATATGCCGTAATAAAAAACAAACCAAACTAATATATACTGAGACAGATTGGGCACCTCGAGGTGGTGTAATGGTTAGTAAGCTTGTTTCGCTCGAATAATTACGACTGGGTGCCCCTTAATTTCAGCCTTGTGCCACATCCAATCTACGCTTGGAAAACACTATAGGCACCTCGAGACGGTGTAATGGTTAGCAAGCTTGTCACACTAGAACAATTACAACGTGAGTTCGATACTCACTGGGTGCCCCATACTTTCGGCCTTGTGCCACATCTAAGCTACGCTTGGAAAATCTCTATACTCAGATAGATAGATAGATAAAAAAAACAGTATTAGCAGCAATAAAAATCTTGTTGGCATTACATAGACAATTGAGGTTGAAATGCCCTAACTCCACCCCCGCCCACCCAAAAAAAAACAAAATCGAACGAAACAGATTCAGCTAGAATTTGAACTCAGTTTACCGATTCTGCAGATCCATTGATGTATAGTCTACTTTTATATGTTGTATCGCTTCAGGATACAAGGTATCAGGGCTTTCTACAACTTCATATCCTTTATTACAATCTCACCAAATCCCTCTACTGCTACCCGCTTACAGCCAGAAAACCGTATCCATTACGATCACTGAAGTTAAGCAACGTCGAGCCTGGTCAGCACTTAGATTGCTGACCGCCTGGGAATACCAGGTTCCGTAACCTTGCACGTGCAGTTGGTGCAAGGGCTCGGAATTGATAATCGGAGAGCTGAGTTCCAATTCCTGTTAGGTTCGTTATATGGGTTATATTGACATACACCCAAATACACTTGGAAAAGGTATGAATCCATCTCTTCTCCCACAGCTATGGGTTAATTAGTAAGACTTGTATCACTAAATGATTATTATCTCCAAAAAATATTCTTACACTTTAAGAATATTCTCTGGCATTAAATAACCTGATAAGGGGTTGATAATCCCTAGGAAACTAATCAATCATTATCTACTGCCATCCATTTACTCAGATTATTAAGCTGTTTACTCGCTGTTTCTCTCTACCCTGTTTGCTTTCAATAAGTCTTGTGAGTGTCGCATTCTCCAATCCCACTTTCCTCATTATGTTTCTCAAGAATTTCTGTTGTCTCTTTCTTTTCACTTCAGTTTTTTTTTTAAATTTCCTCGTCACTCTCATAGTCCATCCAGAGTATTTTCAGTATCTTTCTGTAGAGCAACATCTCTGGCGCCTCAAGTTAATTTTTCATCTGAGAGGAAGTTGTTCAGCATTCGCGGTATTAACTCTTCCGCCCCCCCCCCATCTTGGTGCTAGCACCTATCCCTCCTTCCCTCTGGTGCAATGGGAGGGCGCGGTCTCAGAGAGCTGTACCCCAGGGCTGGGCACCTCTCAGTATTATATTCTCAGTTGCCCCTCTGTCCTTTGACAGAGAAGCCACTGAGCGCACTCTGCCCAAAGACAGAGATTAAACCGAGAGATGATAAGTCATGCGTAAGAAAATCCTCCAAAGGAGGAAGTCATTCGCTGCCATATAGGAGATTCAGCCTTCTTTTCTGAATTTGTTTCGTAACCCTCCTCCAACGGAGACGAGATGTGGCAAAATTTCAGTTTAATGTAAGGAGTTCGAGCTCATGTACACGGGCTAGGGCCAAAAATTGACTAACGCACGCAGCGGTAGGTCGGGCTGACGTAGATAGTACTACCGACTGTCCCACACTAGCGCAATGTGGAAGGTTCTGCCGTGAGAAACGGTACGCCGGGACTCCTCTTCAACCCAAGAACAATTATTTTGAAGAGCGACTTAGAAGCAGACCACCGAAATAAGTTTTCTTTTTGACTTTCGTCCAAAGACACACCGAAACGCCAATTTCTTAGAGAGCAAACAACTTGAAGCGTTAAAAACTTGCCTAACGGAAAACGACCTGTCACAATCCACAGAATGGGTCGGGAGATAGATGCAGCCCTATGTATCGAACAACTAGACATAAAGTTTGTTAACTTTTTCTTTGATACTTTGAACATTTTGAGTTTTCATTTTATTTTCTTTTATGCATATTTGTGTAGTATCACCCCCGTTGAACTCAGTTTGCATTACGGCTCCAACCACTGTTTGATCTCGTCTGTCTAAGATCAATTCACAGCGTGGGTAGGCAGACTGGAGATCAATGCAGTTACCTTGGTAACCAGGCGTTGGAAGCGAGTTGGGAACGACGAGGCTGATATCAAATCTAACCAGATTTCCACCCAAATCACCAAAAGGTTAGAACGTCACATTTGGATGCCGCGACCGATACCAAGCCAGTTGGTCGTCACAGGACGAGACAACACGACTGACGCGACAGGCGGACGTCACGTTTGGAGCAGCGACACCCGAACGGAGCAGCGAGGAGCGAACAGCTGGCGCCGCGGCGAGGACGTCACAATTGGTGCTGTTTGGGGACGTCACAACTGGCGCCGTGGTAGATCAGGATAGAACGTCACAGTCGGCGCTGCGACCGGGGGACGACGTCACACCATATGCGTAAGCATCGGCCATAGAAATGGTGAAAGGTTGATTGTTTTTGAAGAAAAGATTTCTCAATAATTAAAAAAATGAAGTCCCGGTATAATTTTATCCCGGATTTCAGTGGTTAAAAACATACACTGTTTCATGGGATGTGTTTCTTATTCATTGATTTGAGAGTACAAAAAATAATTTTTAAATTAAAAAATATATTTCTTCGCTAGAGAAAAAAATACAAAATTTCTTACCTTTTCTAGAATTGTGCAATATTGTGTCTGCGATCAACACTGTTTCACCTGAATATCTTAAGTTGTTAAGGTTCTATCTTCCATTAATAAATTCTGGTTAGAATTTGGATTTTTTTCCCAATATTTTAATATCTGTAACTACAACTTCAGGAGGTGTGGGTGTGTGCTAACGGCTAATGACCAAGAAAATGTAATCGGAGAACTGAGTTCAAACTCTGGTTCAGTTAGTTTGCTCTCGAGAAAGGCATGGATCCCTCTCTTATAGGCGACATGCCAGCTGCGTGATCTGGATAGACTAAACTTTTCAACCGTGGTTGGTAACTAGTCTAAGTGAAAAACAACTCTGTCTTAAAAAGAGTGAAGGAAATGGGAAATCACTTCACTTTCTTACCCAAGAATTATTATACCAGTTTATTAACGAAGGAAGCTGAGGAGATACATTATCAACTAGGCCTTGAACGGGCTTAAGAATGAGTAGGAAGAAAGGCAACATCGTCGAAATCCGCAAATCACTCCACTTGCTTACAGAAAGATAGTCATGTCAATTTATTAATGAAGGAAGCTGAGTAGATCCATTATCGCCTAGTGCTTGAACGGGCTTTTCAGAATCAGATGGAGGAATGACAACTTCGTCGAAATAATTTAAACGTGGCTTACAATGTTCGCATGTTAATCATTTTTAGTATATCCTTTAATCAGATAAACATGTGTATTTGATGTTTATGGCATTTGCAAACACTTCTACAATTGATGCTTTTGAAGTGTGGGTTTTCGGTTATCTGACATTAATTTGACTAATTCTTTAAGGATATCAATTTTAATTAGTAATGATTTCTCTTGCACTAACTGCCAACTTTAATTGGGAGTTTACTGACTGTACTTAAACGTTCTCGACCCGAATGACAGTTCAAAATTTTTGTTTTCCTCAATAAGTTTAGATAGGTTCGCTTATCGTCCGAATCACACTCCACCCCAGTCTCTTGAAAAGGAGATGTTTATCACTTGTTTCCTGTTTAGGATTAGGTTTCCGGTTCCTATTAAAGTTTACGACAACTCCGCCTGAACTCTGAATTTTATTTGCTAATTATTTGTTTTCTTCTTCTCAACGGGAGTCGATAGATTCGCCCATCGCCCTGTTCACACTTCTCTCCGGTCTTTAAATCAAGAGTAGAGTTTTCTCTCTTGTTTTATGTTCAGGAGTGAGTTTCAGTGCTAAAGTCCACTTCACCTCCTTACTCCTAACGTCTCCTCCTGAACTCTGATATTTTATTTATGATGTAATGGAGTAACCTGTCACCCCCATGAGTGACTACACTATAGGTAGTAACTACCTATAAGTATCTGTAAGTCAACGGACTACAGAGTGTAGCTGCGACCTGTTCCAGCTAGACAGTCGAACTCTCTGCCTTCGGGCAGAGAGGAACCCGGACAAGGCTCCGCCGAAGGGCAGAGACTCGTTCGGGGAGGTAGACTGCCCCTGAACCCGGTTATGCGAGTTCAAAAGGGGAATATTTTTGGCCGAGTCTACGGGTTCGGACAACTTTCGTTAAACCAGCCTTGTACCACATGCAACTCTCGTGGGGGAGGGCAGGTAAATATACAAGCTGGGATCTGTTACTAGACTCTTAGCTGTTGTCGAACCCTCTGCCTGCAGGCAGAGAGGAACCTGGACGAGGCTTTAACTACCATTCGGTAAGAAAGTGTAGTGATTTGCTGAGATAAACGGACCCGAACCCGTTTATGCTGGGTAACGGGAAATTTTTGACCGAGCCTACGGGTTCGGATTGCCCCACATTAAATTCGGCCTTGTGCCACATCGTACCCCGTGGGGAGGTTGGTAAATATTATCAGCTGGGATCTGTTGAGTACGACTCAGACTTACGCGGGAACAACCGACCTTCCAATACTAGCACTCACTACTGGATTGAATTGCGACAACTTTGGGCATAATGTTACCTTTATTCTTACTATACTGGTTTTTACAGTAAACCTTTACTTATTTTATCCACCTTGTTTTTCAAGTATATATTCCTATTAGCACGGAAATATAACAATTTACTAATTGTTTATTTATTTGCATTTTTTTTCTTCTCAGTGGGTGTAGATAGATTCACCTAACTTCCACTTCACAAACCTTCCCGGTATTTTGAACAGGAGTAGAGGTTTATCCCTTGCTCCCTGTTTAAGATTGGGTTTCCTTCTAAAATCTTTTCATTCTCTTTCACCCCCAGTCGCCCCTCGAGTCTTAGTGGTATTATTGCCAGGATTGGGATTAATTCATTAAAGAAAAAAAATGACCGAAAAATGTTTGTTGTCCGGGCCTCAAACGTTTCAGCAACCTCTCGAATAAATCATCTGTAATTGCTTCAACACCGCTTAGAATAGTGTTATCATTAGTGGCCGTTATTTGGAGTCCACAGCTGGAGAAAATCATTTCCCTTCTCCTTCCATGATGTCCGTGACAGTGCTATTCTTGACACGCCTTACCCACAAAGCAGCGTACCTCAACTCTTTATCTTCAGTAGTCATATCGGTGTGCAGTATCGATCGGTGAGATTATCCCATTTATCTATTAATACTAAATACTGATTTTGATCCTCACTGTGTGTCGTATGCAAAATTCAGATTAGATAACCCAGCAAGATCCGACATGTCATAATGTCAATCAACGTAATCTAACTTAGAATGATCGATATTACCAAATTTCCACTCTTGTAAATCAATCATATGTGTGTGTTTGTGTGACTGTGCCACGTGGTTGGGTGAAATAAATGAGTCAGCTTTTCATATGAGTAAGTCTCCCCTGGCGAGTCTTCTACCTACCGTATTCCGTGACTGAGCGAGCAAAAGAGAGACAGCGTGTGTAAGTATATGTGTGTGTTTTTATGTTCTTTCCGTTTATACCGTCGATTACTACGACACCCAACGGGCGTGGAGCGAATTCCACTGGCAGACA